GGGTTCCCGTTCCTAGGAACCCGGAACCCGGTGCGGGTTCCCGTTCCTAGGAACCCGGAACTCGGTGCGGGTTCCCGTTCCCAGGAACGGAACCCGAAACTGACACCCCTAACTCTAGGCAAGTCACTAACGACTGCTTGTCTCGAATCATCTATTCGATAGCATGCTGACTACATTATCACATATATCTACCGTCATGCCTAGTATATGGGCAGTTACTGTACGTGGAGTGTTCAAGTGACTAAACACAAAAGCTTTGTGTCAGGCCGATCTTCTGTTCAAATCTATTGATAGTGCTGGATGTAAAACAGATATCGGGCTATTGAATGTAGAATTAGGTGGCATCCTATGCCGCAAGATAGCTGGAAGGCAGAGATATTCTTTGTTCTTGTTCCTATTAAATTTTATTAAACGCGGTCTTTCGAAATGAAAGAAGAGTGCAAAACATTTAGATCATGCGCAAAATTTTGTGTTCTTGTGAATCATGTAGAATGTTCGCGTGTGATTATCGAAAAAGATATGTTATTTTGGTTTGTTTTTTTTTCTTATCATTCTAAAACTTCAATTTATAAAAAGAGAGAACATGCCAATGTGCATCAGTAGTTTGGTTTAATCAAATGAGGTGGCTCTTTATTTTTCTTTTGTCATTTATTGTTTTTGTCGTAGCTGACAAACATTTAAATGCTAATGGTCCTTTTGGAAAACGTCATTCGGTACATGATGAACCGAGTCCGCATGCCTGTAATCGAAGTTCCGGCTTAACTTTTTCTTCAATTTTCTCAACAACTATGGCTGTAGCGACTTTAAATGTATCAGCTACAGTCTATACTAGCAATCAAGTGATCGATGTGACTTGGACACCAACATCAGCTCCATGTACTGATGATTTTATTGGCATTTATTTTGCCGAAATTCCTCTCACTGACGGTAAACATTGCTGTTTTTTTTCCAAAAATCCGTTTGTATAAGAAAATCTGTTAACTTATCGTTCTCAAGCATGAAGGTGGAAGAGGTATGCCTATGCACCTTGTTCAAAGTTCACAGAACCTGAAAGGTATTTTTTATCTACTAATAAATCGAAACTCTTGCATATTAAATCTGCCATATCTTCTTCAATCCAATACTAAAATATTTCTTTGAATAGTATTTAATAACCAATACATTTCATTAATCTCAGAATAATGTTATCTTAATGCATTAGGCAAATAGTTGGAACGGACAAATAAAATCTTATCTTAAATAAACCAACAAACGATCGTTCTCTCACTCTCAACAAAATATATTCGTCAAAAGATACTTGAAAAATATTTTAATATTATTCAGAGAAATATTTTTCAAAAATGGCATAGGAAGTATCTAAATATTCAATCACACGACTTGAAAAAAATTGAGATTAATAATATGTTTTTCTTTCCTGTTACTGTTATTGTTTAGGAAGAAGAATTTTTTTTTAAATATCTAATAGTGGATGTTTTCTTCTGTCTTATTTTTATTAGCTTGTAATTATTTTGATTATGAATTTGTTAAATCTAAACAAACTAATATGTCATGGCAAATGATCAATCTACGTCGTCCACTTCAATTTCGTTACTACTCACGTGATCTTTCTTGTTCAGGCAATTATTCATTAATTGCTCAATCAGTCGTTATTGAACCAGTGAATTACAATGAGCCAACACATATTCATTTAGCTTACGGTGATCGATTAGATCAAATATTTGTTTCTTATTTAACTAAGTCATCACAATATACTCCTCAATGTCAATATGGATTTGATTCATTCACACTTGAATTTTATCAAAATGGTACAACAACTACATATACAGCATCAGATATGTGTGAAGAAAAAGCAACCTTATGGGGTCCACAAAAATTTATTGATCCAGGATATATGCATACGATTTTATTAGAAGATCTTCGTCCATCAACAACCTATTTTTATCGAGCTGGAAATAATGAACATGGATGGTCATCAATCTATTCATTTACAAACCGTCCTGCAACTAAAAATGAAGCAGTAACATTGATTGCATATGGTGATATGGGTTTATCACCAGTAGAACCAGGTGCTAAGTCAACTATTGATCGAGTAACGACACGAATTATATCAACAAATATTACTTGTTTGTTACATATTGGTGATATTAGTTATGCTCGAGGTATTGGTGCTCTATGGGATGCATTTATGACTCAAATACAACCAATAGCTGCTCGCGTACCTTATATGGTCAGCATTGGTAATCATGAATATGATCATGTTACAGGAGGAGATAAAGATCCAAGCGGTGCACCAGGTCCTGGAGGATTTAGACCAGGATGGTAAGTTTATCTTTAAAAACAAAAAAATAATGTTGTTAGATATTCTGATTTTGAGGGGTGATTATGGTACTGATTCAGGTGGTGAATGTGCTGTTCCTATGGTTCATCGTTTTCATTCTCCATCAAATGGCAATGGTCTGTTTTGGTATAGTTTTGATGTTGGTCCAATACATATAATTTATTATTCAACTGAACATGATTTTCGTCGATCATCACCTCAATACGCATGGATTGAGCAAGATCTTCGTTCAGTTAATCGTTCTCGTACTCCATGGCTTATTGTTGGTTCACATCGGCAAATGTATACATCAGAAATAGAATCAATTGGAGAGTATGAAATTACAATGATGTTACAATTGTACTTAGAACCATTATTCTATCAATATCATGTCGATGTCAATCTTTTTGCACATCGACATTCATATGGACGAACATGTCCGATGTATCAAAGAAGCTGTGTTGCAGATGGTGTAACACATGTTTTAATTGGTATGGCCGGTCAAAACTTAGATTCAGGTGTTTATTCAACAGTTCCGTGGAGTAAATATCATGATCAACAATTTGGATATACAACAATATTTGCTAATCAAACCTATTTGCATCTTACATACTATCATAATAGTGATGATAGTATTGCTGACCAATTTGTACTAATGAAATAACATTTTAATACATGCAAATTATTTATATATATATTACTTAAAATAAAGAGACGAATGCTATTTTTTTAATCTGTTATACTCTTGATTATAATAATGTGTTTAAATCAAAATAATAGAATATTTAAGAAATCGATCAGAAATATTTTCGAAAACAAAAACTTCAATTTTTTATCTTGGGCTCTCGCATATACCAAAAGGTTGATTCCATGTTCAGGAAAGGTTTCTATAATAAATAAAATTTTATTAAAAATGTGTTGAGTGATTTTTAGTATAATTTGTCTTTTGTTCTGATAAACAAAGGAAAATATGAAATAGTGCATAGATAAATAAATACTAGATTTTTCTTCACTTAAGAATGATTGGATCCGAGTGAGGGTGTGGTTGTCGCTTTAGGACAGATCACATCCACATCCCATACCCCACTGAGATGCTATTTGTGATTCTTTTTGTCATGCGTCTAACCTTTTTTATCATTTATCTATATATTTTATTTGAAGATCATCAAAGATGTTTCTAAATTTCATCCTTTTTAAAAAAGAATATGTTAATATTTACTAAGAAATAAACTTTGAATATCACCTTTTTACACTTGTTTTTGTGATTATTAATGCTGACAAGATTCATTTCATTTATTTAGTAATAGATTATTCGCTGAACTTCTCATCTTTTTGACCATTTCCATCAATAGGTTATTTTTGTTTCATTCTATCATGTATGTCAATAGTTTGATATTATCATAAATACTAATCTTTATCATAATTGTTTTTAAATTGAACTTTGATAGGATCTCAAAATTTAATTTCATTCTAATTTGTTGACTTATACAAAATAAAAATGAAGAAATTAGACGAAACCATACTTAATGCATTGGCACTCAAAGGTTTTAAGATATTTGTCAATATTTTCTTGTTTATAGGTTATTTATAGTCGTTCGTCAAAAAGAATATGATAGTTCTTAGTAGTTTTAACCAGTATGGAATGTTTTTTTGAGATGATCTAATCGATAAATTTTTCTTTAATTCTTCAACAAGGTTGATTTGTGATATTTCGATTTAATTAATAAAATACATTCATTGTAAATAGTCTTCAGTGTAGATCTGTGAAAAACTAGTCTTCTGGCTTCCATTTAACGTTTTTGAGAAAAGATTTTATTTGATAGAGCAAAATAAGACGTCTCCATGATCTTCTTTCATCGAACTGCATTTAATTTACAGAAGATCCTAAACCGTCAAACATAACAAAAATATAAGAATTTTCGATAAGAATGACGAGACAAATGCTCCTTGATCCTTCTGTAAATTGAATCAAGTTCGATGAAGAAAGGTCATAAAGAGATCAGAGAAGTCTCATCTTGCTCTATCATCTGTATTCAACTAGTTTTGTTAAAGTCTTTGGGATCCTCAATCTCAACGGAGAATCGTTTCAGCTACATAAATGTTTTTTCAAATTCTTGCAAGCTATTACCATTGAGAAGAAAACTCAAAATTTATGTTCGTCGCTATAGATACAATTGAATACAAACTGATATTCTCGTCAATAGGCTTTCTTTGTTATTGACGGCGTTGCAGAGAGCAGTCGATCATATATACGATGATCGTTTTGTTTCTTAAATAACCGACGAGTAGGTCATATTGTAAATGAATGTACATCGAACACATTTGGGTGTGGTTGAAAAGGAAATACCTCCACGCCCACATTCTCAAAATAAAAACATTTCTGAAATGGTAAAACTTCAGAGTGTACGTATCAATTATTAAAGTTGTTATCCTTGTGATGTTAAGAAAAGATCTTGTTTCTTTTCTATTTATTTACATTATACGATCTATATCTGAAAGGAATCATCGATCACATTCAGCTAGATTTCATTTTCAATTGAGCATATAATGAGATACATTCGGAATATCGATAACACTCAGTAACATGTACTTGATGAAAGTCTATAGTTCATTAGAATACTATTCATTCGAGATATCCAATACATTCTAGTCTTTTCAATTCGAAACTCATCAGAAGGACTTGTATTGATCTAATTATTAAAGAAGAAATATTAATTTGATAAATTTCTTATGAAAACAGAGCATGTCTGAATGTCTCATCATTTATTATTGAAAGTTCATTATTTTTTTCATCCCAAATATGTTACAATCATGCATTAACTATGTTTTTTAATCAGCTGAACAAAATTTGTATATTAACAGATGATATATACTTTTCTTCGAAATTTGTTCAAAGTTTTCTATCTTTGACTAATGTTGAGATGGAACTGTATTCAATCGATACCTCAGTACCTATTTGCCAATATTTTCCTAAATGGACTTAGAAAATTACGTGTTATCCTACTATCATTTGGACATGTTTCTCTATTAGATGGTCCATTTTTTCACAACTATGTCATTGACAAACAGCGTTAATCATTTGGTTGAAGCAAAAGTGATGAAAACAAAGTAGTCGTCAAAATCGAAGATGAAATTTTGAATGTCCATGTTCCATAGTTATGAATGTGTACATTTCTTTTTTTTCACAACGTTTATTAATAAAATGGTTGAAATTAAAGGCAACTATAAGAGTGTTGAGTATTGATCACTGCTTTTTATTTTATTGATTTATTTAATAAAGATGAAACTTGATCTTCATGATATTTTTCAACTTATAAATTCGATAAGTATTTTATGTCTAGCTGTCAATCGAGCCGGGTCTTTTTTGGCTTAAAATTCAACTAATCGAATATTTTCGATATCTGACTGCTCCTCAATCAGATTTTTACCAGGATGTGGGTATGTGAGTGATGAGAAAACCCACAACTGCACCAATAGACCAACGTCCACTCCCGTGATTGGATGCACTTTATAATCTCATTTTAGAAAACAAACGAAAAAAAACCTATTTGTCGAAGACGATGAAAACAAGAATGAAAGAACACAGTGGTAGTGAAAATTTATGTGTGCATTTTGTTTTTTGTTGTGGTGGCAAAGAAATAATGACGGAACAAGCATACATTCACATACTTTTCTTTTATTGAAGCTATTTACTTTACGGCTGACGGTTTGTTATTTTGTTTTACTTTATGAAATTAGATATCTTTTAGAACGAAAAATGTATGTCTTTAAAGTAATCTATCGCTCGCTAAAACATTCAAATTAAATCGTACCATATGCAATGTAACATTACTTGCAAGTGTACATTCGCTAATATTCATATATATGGTGCCAAAAACATCAAGTTCAGACAAATCTCGGACATAGACTTTTATTTTGGTGATTCACTGACGCTTATTGGAGCAAGAGGGTGTAGGTACTATCTTCGTCGAAACTGACATCCACATCCTCTTTATTCTTTTTATTTTATGCAAAATTCCACACGACACGATGTTTCATACTAAATGAACTGTTAAGAAAAAAAACACGCAGAAAAACTAACGTATCCACGATAGAATATTGCGCGATTCGAAATGTTTCTAATTGTATCATTCTTTTAGATGTTACTTAAGGTTGATGAAAATTTCTGATCCTAGTATTTAAAGAATCTTGTCGAATAAGATGGCCTATGCGGAAACGAAAAACCAAATATAGGGTGTGGGCATGGGTATGGGTGCAGAAGTAACGAATATTCATACTCACATACATAGCTTCCCTCACACCTACACCTACATCCACATCCAACACACCTTGAATGGATATGGTGGAGGCTATAGATGTGGGTATGAATGTCCGTCACCTCTTCACTCATAACCATATTCATTTCGTAGGAGCATCTGTCTGAGGAGCAACATTCGTGTTACCCTCGTCGTCATTGAAGCAGTTGGCCAGAGTGTTGATCGGAATTTACAAGACAAATGTCTTCTCGACCTTCTTTTTCTCCGTACCCGCTTTTGTCTTGAGTACTTGCTATTGAAAAATCACTTCTTCGTTCTGCAGGCAACCGATAAATATCCAGATATTGGGAAAAGTCTCGTTCGCA